AGGGCATATTACGTGCACGCGTGAAGAAAAAATCTATGTGCAACTCATGTGCTATAATTGTCTATAACGCGAAACATGTTACACAATGTACTAAAACAGGCGTCTAAGGTAGGTTTCCATTACAATGCCTTACTGATGAGTCAAGTAGTGGAAACCGGGACGAAACGCCAACTTGTGATATTCTTCGCAATCTTATTTTTCACAGAGTTTGATTTATCATTACTTTAAATATTACATCGTTAAATTTTAATATATGTCTTTCAACATATTATTAAGATCCAATAAGATGCTATAAGCATAAAAAATTGTTAGATTGATTGTCAATTTAACTAAAGTGATATTACCGCGGTAGTTGTTGCGTTGTAAGTCTGAAAAAATTTCGGCACGCGATAGGGGAACTACATACGCGGTATGTAAAATTCACACATAATTTTAATAAGCATTTGTGATCCAGCTTCGACCGTTATTGGTTTCCCTCTTCTTGTTAAATAAATTAATATTTAAATATTTACTTGCTCGTTGTTTTGTCTATGAAGCTGGCTCGATTCAGGATGTCTACTGAAGCTGATTGTAAGAAGAAAAAAACCTATATCAACCGGCTACACAAATTAGCCTCGAGACGCATACCGATCTTAGCATGGTTACCGAAATATAACTCGGAAAAATTCCTTAGCGATATTATAGCCGGCATAACAGTTGGTCTTACTGTTATGCCACAGGGACTTGCATATGCAACATTGGCTGGTTTGGAACCACAAGTATGTAGGGCAAAACATGTTTTTCTTATCAATGCTCATCTCCTCTGTAGATGGAGCATGTGTTATTAATATCGTATTTGTTTACAGTATGGTCTTTACTCGGCATTTATGGGTGCAATAGTTTACGTGCTATTTGGCTCCTGTAAAGATATTACAATTGGTCCTACCGCGCTCATGGCGTTAATGACTCATGACTATGTGCAAGGGAAAAATGCTGATTTCGCCATTCTTCTCGCATTCTTATCTGGTTGCCTGCAATTACTAATGGCATGCTTACGTTTAGGTATGCTGACTCAAACGAATAAGAAAATGCTTTATTTTAAGTGAACATTGGATATGCGATAGAAAATAAAATTACAAGTGAAAAAATTTTCCATTCAGAAATGCGCAAGGTAAGACTTACGCAAGGTATACAGGCTATGCGCAAGGTTACTGGAAGTTAAGATTTCCAAGTAAATTCAATGCTACTTTGTACTAGTTTTGCATGTATCCTTGTTGTTGTATTATTTGATCATATTAATATCTTGAATGACATAGGTGTCATTTGTTTGTGTTTAACATAACAACAATTTTGTAGGTGTACTAGTAGATTTTATCTCAATACCAGTCACTGTGGGCTTTACTTCAGCAACGTCCGTCATAATTGTTGCTTCGCAATTGAAAGGATTGTTAGGTTTAAAAATTTCGTCTCAAGGATTTGTGGATACTTTAATTAAAGTTTTTCAAAATATTGGTGACACGAGTCTCTGGGATACTGGGATGAGTATCTCTTGCATCACGATTCTATTGTTGTTCAGGGTAATTAATGAATCTTTATATTTAATCTTTATAATGAATTTTAAATTTGTCGTAAAATCGTATCTGGTATATTGTCTTGATAAAAGTCTCGTAAAATTTACAGAAAATGAAGGATGTTAAATTGCATGTCATTAGTAAGAAGTCAGTGAATTATCAACGTATAATTGCAAAAGCGATATGGCTGATCTCTACGGCGCGGAACGCCATTGTCGTTGTCACATGCTCGGTCATTGCTTATAAATATGATTCGTCCGAATCTGGATCTCGATTTATTCTAACGGGTCCAGTAAGATCTGGTCTTCCACCATTCGGCTTGCCACCTTTTTCCACACAAATAAATAATCAGACTCTTACCTTCACGCAAATGTGTTCCGAATTGGGTACTTCCATAATATTAGTGCCGATAATAGCCGTGCTCGGTAACGTAGCCATAGCTAAAGCTTTTATGAATGAAGGTAAAGTTGATGCTACTCAAGAACTCTTGACACTCGGAATCTGTAACGTTCTTGGGTCCTGCGCAAGTTCTATGCCAGTTACAGGATCGTTCAGTAGATCAGCAGTAAATCATGCGAGTGGTGTGAAAACGCCAATGGGTGGATTATATACCGGAATTCTGATTTTACTAGCCCTTAGGCTACTCACGCCATATTTCTATTTCATTCCAAAAGGTAGCAAAGCACTTTAACGCAATGTACAAAAAAATGCCAATTTGGCGTAATTATTATCCTCTTTTTCAGCTTCATTATCGGCCGTGATAATTTGCGCGGTAATATACATGATAGAGTACGAGGTTGTAAAACTGATGTGGAAATCAAGCAAAAAGGATCTCATACCGATGTTTGTTACTTTTTTGTTTTGTCTCATCATTGGTGTAGAATATGGTATTTTATCAGGGGTCGCTATAAATTTGATGTTCTTATTGTATCCTTCTGCAAGACCTACAGTTTACGTCGATAAATACACGGTAGTAGCAAAAAAACATAATTCAAACAAAGAAATCCTTTCTCTTTTTTTCTTTTTTCATTATTTTAAGTTGTTAATTGCAGAACTACAAATAAAAGAGCATTGAACTTGATGTGCTCAATACTCATTGGATCATTCTTTTCCAAAATACATGATTTTACTGCTCACGCGTCTAAATACATACTAATAATGTTTCGATAAAATTGATCCTACATTTGTTATAGACTGATTGTGGTGCAGAATACTTGTTGGTTACTCCAGGAAACAGTTTGTATTTCCCTGCTGTCGATTTTATAAAGCAGTCAGTTGGTAATGCTGGTATAAAGCAAGGGTCTAGTCAAATACCGGTTGTTGTTGATTGCAGATACATTTTAGGGGCAGATTTTACGGCTGCTAAGGTAACTTTTTTGGAGAATTGAAAATATTTAATTTAATAAGCACAATATTCATCTCACATTAGATTTTGTACTCTCATTATAGACTGCGTTATATTTTTGTCTGTGTTTAAGCTACTTTGATATAATAATTACTCAATATATAAATTAAAATCTTAGACTTTGCACATATTACTTATGTATTATGATTGGCTGCTATATGTGATATTAACATTATGAAAATCGAACACGTTTCACACACACGCACGCACACGTACACACACATGATAGCGAATATATGTTAAAACAATATGATTAAAATAGAAATCGCATCACATTTAACTATTGCTTTTGTCTAATTTAGGGTATGAAAACATTGATTAATGAATTTAGTAGTCGCAAACAGGGATTGTATTTTTACAATCCAAGATCGGATGTGGTTACTGTTTTGAAAGGTGCCTGTGGCGATGAATTCCAATACGTTTCCACTCAGGAAGAGCTCTCTTATCTGTTATCGACAGTTCAAGGTAACTGAATTTATTTACTATTTTGATTTATAAATGCAGGATAATAGACATATACATCTCTTATGGACCCTCTTATAAGTCCTCTCACTTTTAATTTTATATTAGGATTGATAGTGTATGAAAGTAGCGATAAAACTTTTGATCTCATGTTTACTTTTAAATTTTTGATCCATTTTACATTAAGATTGTATAATATATAAAAAATATATCTATATCTTTGTATTTTTTTATATCTTTGCATTTTTAAATTTGTTTATATCAGCTTTATGATTTTTCTTAGAAAATTTTAAAGCGTTATAGGGATCAGAACTATTTTCCATATATCTCGATATACATATATCTTCCATATATATATAATTCGAATGACAAGTTGACTCAGGATTTTACCATCTATTATATAATATACATATATTAAAGTCACAGTATATATAATCCATGAGATATTACGTTTTATAAATATTTATAACATAAGTATTACAATATTACAATTTTTTAAGAATGGTTTATTCTTATATCTAAGAAAAAATGATATATTGTCTTATTTCCAGACAAATCTTCGCAACAACTTCTTGAGCAAACACATGACAAATTACATTCGTCATTAACGTTAAATAATTCAGAGATGATTCACAGAAATGCGCGTGGTTCCTGCCATGAACTTAGCGAGGTTACAAGTACACTTTTACACGCAACTGCAAGTTAAAATTAAATTTCATTTTTATATTAATAAAAAACAAGATTTATTAAACAGAATGTTACATACAATCTTTATTTAAATAATATTAAGCACACAAAACAATAAATTAAAAGCGATATAGAAATAAAGAATGAATGTTTTATTCTTAATTCACAAAATAATTTTATAATTTAGAAGCTATAAATAATTCTGCTGCTTAAATATTATTTTCCTGATGTATATATAATTATTTCAATCTTTATATGTACATATGTAATACATAGAAATTGACGAAATACAGTCTTAGTTGGCACTTGCACTACTATTGCATAAGAATCGTTAACAAAGAATTTTATCACACAATGTAGTGAAGGCACACAAGAGTCCATCACCAGAAGAATTATTTGTTATGAAAGAACGCGTGTATTCGTTGTGTATATTCGACGTAAATGTAATTATTACAAGTGTAGCATCATAATAATACTAAAAAATATTGCACCCTAAATCATTCTCTTTGCTTAGTCGATTTCTGTTTAATAAGAATGATGTATTCATGTATCAATTGATGTTTATCAAAATGTTTCCTTCGTACTATTTCTCTTTTGTGCTTTCTTAAATATTTTTAGAGAAATTGCAAATCCTCAAATTTACATATCTTCTTATTTTACTTTTGTATGTTTTCGCATAAATTTAACTTGGAATTTAAAGATTCACGTTACGTTGATATTGGTAATAAATCACGATACAGTGATGATCCGCAAATTATTTGGCAGTTCTTTTTATAGTTATATATTTTACTTACAAAATAAGGTGTTAATTTCATTATTTTTGAATGAATTACATTAAGAATTCTTAATTATTTTTTATACACGAAAAATTGTACAAATAATTGTCATTGGTTCATTAGAGTTCCATATAAAATTTATACTCAAAACATGTTTAGTAAAGACCGGAGACAATGTCCGTTACTTTTCCACGTTTCCCAATCAGCGAAGATGTCGTATTTCTTCGACTAATTAGATTTTCTTTAATTGGCTGATTCCCCGAATATTTGCCCGCGTTAAAACGATTCTTTCCAAGACCAAATGTATCGTATGTTCGCCCAGCAAAAATTCCTGATTCGTTTGGTCTACTGGTAAACTTATTACTAATTTTATCCTTGTGGCAAAAGGAATTGTGTCTTATGCCATTTTTTGATAATATTATCGGTGAATCTTCTGGTGAGCTAGTTTCGCCCTTGCTTCTTGCATAATTTAACTCGTTATGATAATTCCATTCGCGAGTTCTCTGTTCCTCGTAGAATTCGTCGCTTTTTAATTGCTTATTGTTAACATGATACAGTTCGTCGTTCTTCAGGTCTCTGTTTCTAGAAACGAGATTATCTCGCCTTCCTTGTTGATCAAATTCTGAAGAATTACCACAAAAATCATCAGATCTGATTGCTCTTGATCTTGTCGGCTGCTTTTCGGTGCGAGATTTGATCGCTTTTGTCTGACGTTTATTCCCGTTCCATTGATTTTTTTCTTGCGTAATAACAATGTCGACCATCGAGTCTAGACCTTCGTCAATCCTGTCTAAGGATTTCGTTTTCAAACTGGGAGACTTTGGCGCGTCGATCGACCGCGGTCGCCTCGTGACAACAGGCTTCAGATTAAAATCCGTGAAGTAGAAAAGACCGCTGTCGCTTTCCCCTTTCGATGAGCATTGATCCCTCTTCGATACGTGATGGGAGATGTGATGGAAAGATTCCGATCTACGCATTTTAAATCTGGAAGAATCAGTCAGAAGTGACACCTGTTCTTGTTTACCAAGATTTTCGGAGTCGATTGATCTCTCATAATTCTGTAAGCTTCGATGCTCGTCGAAAGAATTTAAACTTTCAAATTTTCTGATACGACACTCCACTCTACTCCCCGATCGTGGACTGGACACATTCGACTCGAAGTAATCGTGACTAGTGGAGCGACGTAAATATTTCCTCTTTTCTATCTCGTTTTTATATTTAGAACTGTGTCGATGAATCATCCGTTGATCAGCCGATCGTCCGGAGGATGTTTCAAATCCCTTGGGAATAGATTCGAATTGTCTGTAAACATCGATTTGTTTGTTAGTCGACCTGACATCCGTAATTAAATTTGTTTTCGAAGCCTCGTAATTTCTCAAAGTTTTTCTATCTTTTATATCGTTATCTTTGAAGTGATGCAAATCATCGAGACTCTTTCTAAATTTAACATCAATACGATTTGAGCCTATCAATATAGTATCGCTCTTGATTTGTTTCTGCAAGTGATCTTCGTTAATAATTCTCATCTGTCCGTCATAGATTTGATGTTTGCTGTTATATTTGAGTTTGGAAGCGCTTAGCAAGGAATCGCTGCCGTCACCGAGAGTTTCTTCCTCGACTTCCTCGTCGTGGGAGTTGTACATCTCTGCGTGATCAACGAAGTCGCAATGCCTGGCGGACATGATGGCTGATAAGCACGGCGGTGCTCTTCGTGGCGGTTGTGGATGTAGAATAGCCGGTACTATCGCCTCTTCCACGTCAGGTCCCTTTACAACGATCTTAACACTGCCTTCCATCGATGACTTTGATGTTTTGCGCAGCCCAAGACTTAATTTCTTCGTGCCATCCGAATCAGTACTATAATCTTGATCGTTGCCAAAATAGGTCACTTGCTCACTTTTTATCTGATTTTGAAATATGTTAGAGCCCGTATTCGATTTTAGCATCTTCAAATCCGTATATTGGTCTATCTTGGGTATTTTGTCGTACATATAACTCTCAGAGTTATTCAGTGAAACCTTGGAATTCGATCGGTATAATTTATTTTTATCCAATTCTTGTTTTATCCTTTCTTTATTATGGACAGTTTCTTGATTGTTATTAGCACGATGATTCAGTTCCTGAGTTTTATCACTGAATTCTTCTTCAGCGTCTTTCACTATGATCCTCAGTTCCTCGATCACGTCATCAATCGTTGTTTCCTGATCGTTGCTTTGCATAGGTGAGGCTTTCTGTCGATTGGTTCTTGATTGATGCTTCGTATCTTCAGGACTGCTGGATCTCTCCGAAGAACTGATACCTTCATCCTCCGCGTTCGAGGATACTTTCGGGCTTTTAGCAGCAATGAGAATCACCGGCGTGGATTTATCTCGTTCTTCCAAGTTACAGTCATTTCGTTTCTCTAATTGCATCTGCAAAAGCGATACCTTTTTGCTGAGTACCCTGCAGGTTTCCTCCGCGCGTGTCACTCTTCGCTGCAAAGCGTCCACGTCGACACAGTTGTGCGCCCATTTCTGAACTTCCTTGTGCAGTAAATCAGTTAAAGCATCCTCTTCGCGTCCATCGAATTCCCTTAGCCATTCCTGAAGTACCTGCGGCTCTAAGCCAGCTTCGCAGGCCTCAGCCTAAAAGGAGCGAAATATTTACGTCTTGATATATCGAAATAATAGAGACAAATGTTATAAGACAACATAAGTATATATACTTCCCAAAATTTTCTATATTAATCATACTTATATTAAAAAAAAATATATAAATTATTAAATATATTATATTATCCATTGTATCAAACAAAAGTTTTAAATGTAAATAATAGGAAGAGTCAAACAAGAAACAATTTTCAGCTTAATACAAGATGACAGTTAATTATTTTAGTTTCTCGATTATCACTGGACGTGAAAGGATTAAACAAAAATAATCTACTGGTGGATACAACTTTTTACTATATTTCTTTTACCTGAATGTATAACTTGGTTTGCGTGCGAGGTGCAGATTTCAGAAAAGCGTTTAGAAACGAAACTCCTGCAACCCTCAACGCGATAGCTGCTCTCGGGGCTAAAAGAGCGCCTGCTAAAAATCGAAATCTTCCTCCTTCTCCGTATTTGAGTCTCAGAGTCGATACCGCTTCCGAAACGGCTGCGTGTCCACCCGGTGCTTGGCACACCTTCGTTAAGAGCTGCAAAGCAATGAAATGTATTCTTTTATCACATAAAATATAATACAGAAGATATTGAAAACTCGCAATGTGTGTTTACTAAAGAAAAGACGAATTTAAAATTTATCAAAAGATTCACGTTGTGAGTGTACTTGGAATCTGATTATTTATTATTTCGTCACTATAAACGGACGTTTCTTATTATAGTTTGTAGATTTACAGAATTTGTGATCATGTGCCGTGTATAATTGTCTGCCTCGACTAGACAACTGCTGATTGTATCACACGATATCCGCTCGCAAGGTATATCATACACATCTCGAGAAACGGAAAATAAAAAACAGATCCAACGTCATCCACGTAACATGCGGTAATATAAGTTTGTAAACGAAGCCAATGCTCTCGATCGAATAACATTCGGTGGATAAACGATAAAAACTGGTTTCGACGGTGAGCACCTTCGAAATAACGGCGCCGCCTGTCGAGCGTATCTCCTCTGCTCGAAACATGCGTTTACATTTACGACCCCATCTTGACGACTGGGAAAAAATGACCAAATTATACCGGGAGCGTTAACTTATCGTTGTAAAGACGAAGTGACCCACTAGCATTTTATTTTATTGGTAACTGTAATTTCTTTATTTCATTCATGAGTGAATTTTTATCATTTTCGTATAAGTATATCGAGTTACTGTTATCATAATTGTATTCATAGCCGCAATTCGCAGTGAAGTGTAAACACCTCAAGTAGTAGAATTAAAAGATACGACGACGTCTCATAGATATCAAAATAGACTATTGTCTTTTGACATTGATCCACTACTCGAAAGAGCATGGTGTTTCGCTTTTACGCAGAAAATTAAAAATGAAATTATTAAATATACGTAATTGTGTTAAATAACACGTGTAATTAAATTTATTAATTATACATAATATGCTTAACAAAAATATATTGGAAATGTAAACTGTGAATAGTAAATTGTGAAAATGATATCGTGGAAGGGAAAGAAGAATCTCGCGTTATTTCACGACAACGTGCCGGCGCGGCGCGGCGCGGCATTCGCGCGACACGCAGTAGTTGTGTAATCGATTCTTTTTATCTAACGGTATCACGACGCTTCGCGAGCGGAAGTGGCGATTGTTACCTGAAGAGCCAGAACTCGGGACCGGTTGAGACTACTAGTCAGACAAACCGCGAGAGCTAGGAGGCCAGGTTGCGCCTGTACTAATAGCCGCGGTGCATCGGCGCATCGTTCGCCGCATGCGGCCAGACATTCCACGCACCCCAATTCGTCCAGGGCAGCCCTTCTGGTACCGACCCTAGGTCCGGTCTGCCCCGAATTCGGTGGTGAACTTTGAGCCAATTGAACGCCGCGTAAAGTTTCCAGCAACAGGGTCATTCCGTCCGCTGGCGGGGAGGCGAACTCTTGCACGAAGCTGAAAAAAAAAATCATAATTCATCACGAGAACATTCGACATCTTAACGATATAGCGAAATTTCTTTCTTAACATTCTCATTTTTATAATACTTCCGCGTTCTTAACATCTGTGTTGCATCGCTTTTATTATTTTATATTTACTACACATAATTACACACAATCATATATTTTCTTGTAAATAAGAATGGAAATTGAATTATCTTAAGAAAAGAAATATTAATGTTTATGTGCATGTGACATCTATAAAAAAATGTGTACAACACACACACAAATTTCTAATAAATATATTTCAATATTATTCATTAAAAAAGTCAAAACAAAACAGATTCAATTCTTTTTGGATCTTTCCTTTAGTAATAAAACTAATAACATTGAAGTCACCGATATTGTATATGCACGTCAAAATAAAATAAATTTAAAAAAACTTAAAAGAATTTAAGAAACTATAATTTTTAGATGTAAGAAAAGAAATCAATCATCTCGAGCTTGGTGAATATTTTTTAACTGTAAAAGAACCTGTCTGATACTTAAAAAAAATACATATAAATGAAATATATAAGCAACTCAGTCATTCTGCATATTTGAATCATGACTCTGCCATTGGGCGTATAACATCATTTCAGACATTAGATGTTTACGACTAAGAAGATTTCTCATCTAAACTTAACATACCGGTAGTTACGCCAATGAATACTGGTTGTAATAACATTCTTATGTTTTGAATAAAAATCGTCACATAAGCGTTGAAGATATTAAAATATAAAGAAAAAAGATAGTAATTACATAATTACGGAGCTTCTCGCTCGACAAGAAAACTGATCCGGTTTATGCGCGTGTAGCTCAGCGAGTTTTTTTTCCGAGATTGTCACCACAAGAGCGAAGAGGGCGACTTCATGATTGAACGAAGGAATCGATCATCATCGCTCCTGAATATATTAACAAAGACATTACACACGAGAGACCTGTTCAAGCTGCTGCGGGATAGCTTTCTCATCACACGCGTGATTCAGTAAGAATCAAAATATCATTTTCTTCGAAAATACTGTAAACAAGACTTTCTCTCTCTCTCTCTCTCTCTCGCTTTATACCTACATCTCGCTCGTTTAAATTAAAACAAATTTTATTGTCGAATAATTGATATTTTAAGTCGTCAAAAAGTCGAGAAAAGACCAGTCGATTCGGTCACGTTTTGAATTTTACGTATAATATCATAAATCGAACCTTATTGCGATGTTTTTCTCTGATCGATCCGAGAGTGTCCTTTTACAAAGTCTTTATACAATTCAGCAGGAGCAACGTGAGATGGTTTCCCTTTACAACTATTCGCAACGCCTTAAGGTAAACAGGTGTGAGGACGGGAAAGTACACGCTATACCTGTCACGCAGTGACAAGTCCATACTCGTGCGAGTATTCGCAATTTTTTCTGATTTTGTGAAAATGATGCGCATCGAATCTATCGTAATTGCTAAGGTATTTTCGAACTTCCTCCGATCGGTTTAATTTTCTTAATAGCACTGCTTAGAAGACACGCGATGGCGTAATAAAAGAGATGGCACTAAAAGAGAAGAGGCATCTCTCTCGTCTTTGTACGTGTTACGAGAGTTATGTTGCTTGAATTGTGCACACAAATAATCAAAGTTCAACCCTGTGACAAAAATCTCATGGAGAAAATCTCTATCATTCACTGAGAAGTTCGTGGATTATTGTCTATTTTTTTTTTAGAAGAATAAAATATATTCTAATTCTTGCAAGACTCTGCACGCGCGATTCTCTTTATCTCGTCATGAGATGTTGAGTCGTAACGAAAATTCTGCATTACTTGAATAGCGCGCGTATTTTCACCGATAGCAAACGTTCAAAGATATTCCATCGAGAATCAAAAATTCAATCTCGAAGAATTTTATACGTTTTATGCTATACCAAATTTAGCACGAGTATATCCCGTTGTATTGTCAAGCATCGCATTCAGGACCAAAGAAGGACCATTCTGCTTCGCGTGCCATTTATAGCATCGGAAACGTTGCGCAACATTCCGTTATTCGCCAACATGTATCAGCAAATGAGAGAGAGAGAAAGAGAGAGAAAGAAAATGATACACATCATAAATCGTAAATTAAGAGCCGCCATAACCAATCGACATGTTTTTCGGCTAATAAGAAACTGCGAAGGTAGAAATGGGCATCGAATGCTTGCAGGCAAAAGAGAAACAACACACACTCGTTAAAAAAATCGGTCACATGCAACGTTATAGTGTGGTCCAGTTTTATGGCTGAGTATATAATACGGTATAAAGGAGAAAGATATTAACAAATTTATATACAGAGTGTCTCATTATAATCAACTCACTTAAATATATTTTGATAATTAAATACAAGACATTGAAATTTAGGAGGGAGGGGAGAGGATGTAAAAGTTGTACAGTTTAAAAGAAAAATTTAATCAAAAAGAAATCTGATTTTGAGTGGAAATAACAACGTGAAATAAAATTATATCTTTTTGACTGGATAACTTGATTTTATCATGTGACTCTCGTAATACCATATCTTTCCATATGGCAAAACAGCGACTCATGAGTATTATACGTTACAAATAAACCATCAAACAGAATAAGGTGATATATTTTAATAAAAATATATTCCAACAATATTATACCTAAATTGTATTACCTACTTTGATTAAAATCACTTTATATCTAAAAAAAAAAAAAAAATTAAGTAGTATGGCAATAAATAGAGATGCTAGTGAAAAAAAGATAATATCAGTACGGAATAGCTTTATTTAACTTTCGCAACATATCGCCTCCACATATAATACATACACCTTCAATTATCATGTTCACTTGGCACATTTTCGCGCGGAAAAAACAATCCTGAGAAGTGCACCTCGTTACCTCATCTCATGAAACAATTCCTAGCTATTGAACGAAAGTATAATCGCTGATTATTACACACAACAGAGCCACTAGGAGTTTGCAAAGAGTCGAGCATTAAGTGCTGTTAAAGAATATTCGAAGGCGAATGATTTGAATGTATAATGTTTCAGTACATATATGTATATGTTTAAGGGCATCCGGCGTTACGACGCACATAACTTGGCATAACTCGCTGAAAAAATATATCGAAATGGACTTTGTCTAGACGGAAATTGCTATATAAACAGCACACATGTACATGTGTGAGTGACACGCGGTGAATCGAATATACGGGACATGCAAATGAGTGTTAAATGCCTCTTATATCGCTGCGGTCGACGTCTCTCGCGTTTAACGACAAAGGAAGGCAAGAGGAGAAGAAAAAGACAGCGCGGTTCTTCCCTCTTAACAATGGATGCATTATGTTACCGGCGTATTATGCATAATGCGCGAGGTATCGCGATACCACGGCGCAGTACGTGCACGAAATACAAAGGATCCGCCTTTGTTGCTCGCACCGTAAAAATGTCACGGCGACCGCGTTTGGATGCGAAGAAAACGAAAGCTTCGAAGAGGATGAGAGTGACAGTAAAAGAGATAAACGAGCATGATGCAGCCGCGACAGTCATGCCCAAACATATCAGCTATTTTGATATTTAAGTAATTTATAGCCGGTATTCATAGTCTTATTTTTAAGTAACGTCTTAATATGGCCCTCTAATTGGTTGGTGTACTTAAAACAATCTTAAATATAAGAACTGACTTGTGAGTTTGAATATTAGAGAGATATCAATCCTTCCTTCTAAATAGTTTTTATCTTCTCATCTCTTTTTTTCGTAATATTGAATAGTTTCTTGACAATTAGCATTTCAAGTAGGGAGATGGTACTTAATGAAAAGATAAATTGATTGGATGAAATCTCGAAGTATTTCAAAAGAATATGTATCAAGATTAGCCGACAAAACGTATGGATCACTGAACAGCACATGGCGCATGAATATTGATAAAGCATAAAACATTCACGATAACGGCAGTATATTTTGATCGCGATGGATAAACCCAATATTACACGTACAAATGTATGCTAATGTATGTATATAATTCATGGAAGTAACCTCTACGATACATTCCTGTACGTAATAGTTCCTTTTCTATAATGTTTTCACATCATTCTCTTTTTCATTTCACATAATTTTATTTTCAACAATCTTGCATAATTTTTTTAATTCGAAGTACTGTACAATATTGATTTCATCAAATTGTTACGCTTTATTATGATTTTAAACCCGTTTTATATATGATCTAGAATTTGTGTGAAATTATAATAAATTAAGTCATAGAAAAATTAAATAAAATTGTATTAATTAAATAGATGTAATGTTGTCTTTTTTCAAATTTAGATTTGCCTTAGTAATAATATATTTAAATAATTACATTAAATTTATATCTATTTTTAAAATTAACTTTTTACTTATTAATTTAACATATGAAAATGATATAAGTAGATATATATGAGAACTCGTCGACAAACGATATGCAGATAGAACTCTATCTAGTTAACTATAACTATAATCAAACTTGAATGACGGATTAATGGACAAGATATATAAAAGTGCATCCGACAACGACCTCTTTTAAGGATAATAGAAGAGACCGCAGATACATACATCGCAGAAAACTATTGAAATATAACCAGCAAAGAATAGACGCTTAAAAGGCAAACAAGCATACGCGGCAAACAATGACAAACGTATCGACATGCACCGCGCAAAGAGACAGCAACTGCGGTGTCTGATATCGTGTGAGAGAAAAAAAAAAGTTTCCTCGTTTTTCATCACGCGTGTAGTAGGAAGCGGTTATGCATTCGTTATTACGCCAAGCGGAAGCACCTGTGGACTATGAGTGTACGGCGGGTTCGGTGCCCGGTCGAGGCTTCGCCTTCGAGGCGACTAATATACTTGCTCGTGTGCGAAAGGGAGCAAAAAAGGGGAAAAAACGGCCGAAAGATTGTTTCTTCTTTGTTTGCTTCGTATACTTTCAAGTGGTTCTTCTATTAAATTAATCAAGATGATTTCTCCGAAACTAAACAGAGATTCGGATTCGTTTTGCTTGTATAATAATATATCGCCACCTTCGTTTCTTACATTTGTGTGCGTTTTCTTTCTGTGCTCACTACTGCGTAAAAAATACATCGCGTTACGATATCTCCTCTATCGGATTACATATATGTAGATTTTATCGCTTTAACTACATATCATTAAGAAAAGAATTTAATTAATGAAAGACGTGTGTGTGTGTGTAATTTTCTAACAAACCAGATTTAAAAGAATAAAATGCAAATTTAATTCACAGTTTTTCTATTATATTATAATTGTAATAAATATATTTCTATATAAATAAATAATTATCTATATAAATAATTTATTTGTTTTTAACAAAAAAGAGTCCATAACTAGTTTATATAATTTTATTAAGTATATTTCTATATATTTTATTAATTACATAAATTATACATATTATATGTACACACACAAAGTTTCTATGATTATGGATTTGAAACAATTTCGCGCATACATACGGAGAAATGAAATAAATTATAAATAAAATAGTATTTCTTTTGAGACGAAATAAATTTTATTAGGAGAAAGTAGAATGATTTTATGTTATCATCCTCACTTAATACCCATTTTTTTTAACTTCTGTCAAATTGTAAAATTTTTTTAGCTTCCTTCAAGACGATACACTCGTCGACCATCAATTGACTAGAAAGTTGTCTTCACTTTAGACGACCGATGTGATTGATGAAAGTAGTATAAAGAAATAAAGCGAAGTAGTACAAACTAGATTTGCTTTGTACAGCGTATATTCATTTCTTCAATTATTGTTGTATATTATTAATTATATTATATATATGTACATAAAATTAATATAATATATATGTGATTAATACGTTAATTTATTAATGTATGCATATCTAATGTATTTATATTCTATATATATAATTGTAAATGTATACTCTGATAAAGTAAAAGTTTGACTGATGCAGAATTGTCTCGTAAGTACTTGTAGCAGATACCGTTATGGATGAGAAGACTGAGATTATGGAAGTGTCTATTTAAGGACCTATTCTGTATGAGCCATGCGTACAACAACGAATCCATGAAAATACAATTAGGAGCTCTAATAAGGCTTCGTTGTAAATGATACACCTGTCGTTTTAGCTGTTTCGCCTTAGCAAAGACGGAAGATGTGCAGCTCGGCCAGATCGATTTGCAGCGGTGTGCCACTATACAGTTAGCCGTAATATCGGCATTCGGTTATTCGAAGCCGCTACTTACGGGTTATCCGCCGACATCGAGAAGCGCAACATATTATAACTCATTTATCTGGGACATTCTCGTCCGCCATATGACGCCCGTGTGCAACCGGAGGATAGAGCCATCAACATTCGTCCTTTAAAACATATGCTGTATACCAACGACAGACTGTGGAAGAATTTAATACTATGAGCATCGTCTTTAATCATCTGCCAAGTTAACGGATTCGCGCTCTTCTATCCGTCTCCTCTTCCTCTCTCTCGCGGAACACATAACAGATCATTTGCGCCACGTAAATCGTTCATAATCGGGGAACGGCAGGATACATCGTAATTTTTCAGAATAACCGCGAAATTGCGTCCCGTGGTTAAACGATGAATCGATCGCCTCTTATATAGATATAATATTGAAAAATAAGAGAAAAAATGGATTTACCGGTTATAAGCTTTTATATGTATGTTAAAATTACTATAATTAAACTTGTGCCAGATATAAAATTGTTATTGCGATTTCATTATTACGACCAATTAGGTAGCTCTTATTGCCGCGATAGGCACTACAAATCAATATGAATAAACGTGCCTCGAGCGTCTTGGCGCGAGACAAACATCATCGATCTTCCGACTAGCGGTGTAAAGCATTGACAGGCAGGAAGAAAAATTCTAACGATAACGCGCGATTCTTAATCACCTTCGGACTTAACAGGCATGAACATTGCACACGGTTGCGCATTTATGCCTTTGGCATCACTTTTCTAATCGTGTGAATAATTTTTATGACGTATCAGTTTAGAATTGTGATTAATTCTTTACAGACATCTCCCTTTTTCTTTTTCAATGTGTATAATAGGCGAGATATGTATTTTTTATCTAATTTTAATTAATTTATTTTATATCAAATAGATATTTTTATTTTTGAACATTGCCCTTTTTAAATGTATTCTCAAGTCGTGGCTCGGGCGAGACGATAGTGTCACGATTAAGAGGAAATAAGTATTTTTATGAGCTAGAACGTTTCGTATATTGGTCCATCTTCAATTTCTCCATAAAAGGCAACTGTAAAAGTAAACTGATTCTGCGTGTTTTTTTAACGTCGACAAATATTCAATGGATAATGATTTCTTTATCTATATTCTTTATATTCTGGAGATACTCATCGCATCTCTGGAAATATCGTTCTTAAGATACTCGAAATAACAAAATTTTGAGAGCACAAACGTGGGAATTTGGATTTCTACAGGATCTAAGTTTTTTTAAATTTAAATACTTAATTCTTTCGATTTATACTTTGCAATTCTCGCGAGATTATAGTATCTTACATCTCTCTCGTCATTAGTTCCACCAAGGGAGCACGAACAGTGAGTGTTATTTTAATCATTCGCAAATAATTCATATTTCATACTTCCGCGTGCGTTTCTCGCGTGTATCTACAGAAATTCGTTATTCTAAGAATATGAGAATCAACTAATCCGCGTTACAAACTGAGTAGTAATCACTTCCTGTAGAATTATTTTTATAATCGTATAATAATAAAAAAATACGTAATATATAGGATATTAAAAAAGGACTGTTTGAAAAATCTTTGAAAACACTTATGCTTTGATTTTTCTTTTTAATATCTCGTGTATAACACATTTAGAAATCAATTTATAATTGTAAATACAAAGCAAATAAATCTATTTAAATATATAAACAAGTTGTATTATAAAAATAAAAAACTATTTATATCTTCACACACACACACACACACACAATGATTAATTTAATCAACTTAACTTTTTTGGATTTATGTTGGATTCTATAAATAAACATATGTATACAATATTATGCATATAGATAAATGTATAGATGTGTGTGTAAATACGTTTGCTCGTGTAACTTCTCAAGTCACACATTCAGAACAGATTCTATATATAGATAATGTTTTTTGAGACTGCTACTTTTTAATAAAATTATTGTATAACTTACATCAAAATTGAATATCTGATAAGTAAATAATTACATTAAGAAACAATCGATCGAATTATTTGTTAACTAATCTAATTATTAATCAGTTGACAAAAGTGATCAATTTGATGGGCACTGACCTGGGAAAGGCAAGCCTGAGATCGGCTCTGAGTTTATTTAACAGCTCGCTGACCGATGTGAATTGTCTCAAGGTCATCTCACCACTTCCGGATGCGTAACCGGAACTCGAACTGGTTGTCGACGGCAAAGTACCTTGAGAGTCTTGAACGGTTCCTAATGGGCGTCTTCCCCATCGTCTCAGCGCGATTGCGTAATCTTCGGCATTATACGTGGGTGGTCTTAAGCGTTCCTGTGCGAACAATTTCATTATCTAATTGAAAAGGCTCTTGAAATTATTTTATTTCATAGAATATTAAATATAATTAATGGCGTTTTCTATTTACATTTAGTATAACATTATAAATAAACAATGACGAAATGAAAAGTAGTTATTGTTTAAGATGTCTTGTTAATTTATTAATCTATGCAGAATTAGCATCTCACGATATTTTATACTTTAGTCGAATAAATCTCAAAGAGCGCATATACGAATTATTATTGGTCGCTTATACGTATGAAATATTTATGTCGAAAGATAGGAAGATATCTACGGTTAATTTCAGGGCGCTTCCAACCATAAATTGATAGGATCATAGTGATTATCGTCTTTTCTCGCTAACCATAAGTTGCGGCAGTAGCTGGATGCTGCTAAGAGGAGAAGAATAGGTATGGTGATGAAACTAGATAATTAAAACCAATCGTTCGTACAAGATGATTTCTGTCAATTAAAATATAAATTAAATATAGATTAAACTATATTTGAACTTTATATTTTGAATTAAAAAATATGTATTTTGGATTAAAAAATTCCAAATTCAAGAAAATTCCAATTAAATAAAAAACGCGTCGTTAATTCAAAATTTCCCTATATGACAAATAAATCTATTATGCAATAATGATATATGTTAATTTGCATCGATATCAAAACTGAAATTATGTATTGATCGTAATCGTATAAACTTATGATTAATTGAATAAATTTATTCCATTTTAGTCATGATAACAAAATATATCAATGTTTCCTACTTTCAAGTGTTTCAGGAGAGAAGTGATTCTAATCAGTGATGCTTCCTTGTTAATGTATTATTGTACTTCACGCGAACAAATTACGTAAAATTAATTTACTTTCGTGCTTACGGTTAATACAGAATGTATAAATTATGAAACAATCCGCTATTGACGCACACGGAAGCAGTATAAATGTATAAATTATTCAAATGAGTCAATTACATTCAGAATATTTCCCGTAAGCTCGTACGGTTGTTCTATTTAAATATAATGTAGGCACATTTATTAAACGACATAGTGCGAGATTAATCGAACGAGCGCGTTTTGAGAAATCATAACATTGGAGAATATGTACAGAAACTTTCAGTTGAGTAAATTATATCAGAATTTCTTAAAATTGTTCCGTTTTTATTCGTACAAATGAAGCAAACATTGATATAGAAACTATATAGAATAGAGAAATATAGTATGAGTAAAAAATGCAGACGGATTTTGCTGTGGATGGTTTGAAAGAAAAATATAAGAAGGAACAAAATAGAAAGGAAATCAGAAAACCCTCGATATTCTTATATCTCTGGTTTGCGGTCATACATCTGGTCTGTACGTATACCGTATTATTGCACAGCGACTGCATTCACTCGCGGTTGTGGTACGCGAGTAAATAAACACTATTTATAAATGAGAACGGAGAGTACAATGTGACAATGAGAACATCTTGATATAATTTCTTAACGTTGTTTATATGCATCAGTCTCTGCCCGATCAATCACTGATGCAGTTATTTTTTCCTACATACAAAGATAAATATTCTTTGTTATCTTTTGCATTGAATTTTCCGAGTTTATTCCAACAGCTAACTTGTAAGATTATATGTAGAAATAGATGTATGTGGATGCAACGGTATTACGAACAAAATTGCAGCCATCCAATATTCTGTAAAACAATGATTATGTATCTCGTATATGCAATTTTGTATGTAAATTTTTTTTTTTATGGCTTTTAGAAAATATAAATTTAAATCTATTATACGTGAGAGGATCATTAGCACGATCAATCATGCTCGGTACTATTATTACATCTAGGAACGTTCATGATTGGATCTCGTTACAACGAGGTACGACGCGTGCCGATGTTGTTTTCGTTTTGGCTTGTCTTTACGTGACACCGTGACGATGAAAGATAAGGTTCTATAGTCATTACGATCATAAATATGAGTTGCTTATTAATTAACTTACGGAAATCGCGTTTTACATATGTCAGGAAATAAATTTTTTCATTTCCTTCAAATTTTTTAATTAGAATGAAAAAAACCACGGTTGGCGCATGCCACTTCAATAAAACGGATGATTTATTGAAAGTCTTCATAACAACGCTTTCGATACGTACGTTATTCTTTTTATGCATCCCTTCCGCAATTTAAGTGAAATCGCCGTCGAGACTTTCCCGCAACGATGGAACATCGCGTATATGACTGCGCACACGATATCTCGTCACAGTTGATCTAATTTCGAGTTCGTCCGCAACGATTTCCATTTTCATCCAACGAATTGAGCAATTTCGATCTTAACACTCGTAAAAGCTTTGACTTTCACGTGCGTTAAAGTGAAACTATACATCGACGTGTATTCAGGATATACCTTTTGGTTGAACTAACACATACAATAAACCGCTAAAACATAATTATCTCCATCTTGACATATATTAATCGACTCTATTACTAGTAATATAGAAATTATTATGAACTAAAAGATCCGCTGTAATGATCGCGATTGAGATATATTAAGACATGTAGATTTGGTTAATTGGAAAAGAAATCGATGTTTATTATGTAATCGTATATATGGTAGTACGATAGATATACTGTCTCATAATATAAATAGCGAAATACTATAAGTAGCAGGAAAGACACGCGAGAATATTTATGAGATAGCATATGCAATATATAATCAAGCCGTATATGTATGCGCGCGTATGCCGTTAGCGACAAGGTCAAGGTGAGAAGAGAAGTGACTTGCTACTTTAGCTTGAAAGACCGACTCTATTCTCTTAATATTAATATTCTCCTTCTTGTCACATAGGCGAACCAAGTCGAGGTGATGGAGTTCTCACGGTGTAGAGCGAAATAAAGATCGGTCGTCTTGCCGGTCCAGCCTGTCTTCTGTGTATATTTACTCAAAGTTGAAAGATATGCTAATCGGAAACATCCTGTCGTATGCATGGAACGCCGTTTAACGCGACTCAAGTTATATCATAAAGCTTCCGCGCCGTTTACACGCCGGCAAGCTAACACGCGAACAATCGCGTCAACGTATTTGTTAGTTTGTTACACAGTAATTTACTTAACGTTGTCTCTATATACGACACTACCTTTTCTGGTTGCGGTCCCCATGGTTTCACAACCAGCAGTTCTTCCTCCGCATTGGGCGCCATGTCTGACTCGCTGAAAAATCACAAATTATACACAAATTAAATAGAGGTGACTTTTTTTTTTTTATAGAGATAGACATATTTTATCGTATTAGTTAACAAAAAACCCTACATATATTTGAAATGAAACATCTGTTGGAAACGTATTCAAAATACATGCATTATTAACTAGGCAAAGTTTCGCTGCGTTCAATAGAAGAAAGCAGTTTTAAAACTGTTGTAAAATTTTGCAAAAAAATATTAAACTTGTCCTTATTTTTTTGTTACAATGCCCTTAAAAGAGAGTAAAAAGAAAAAATAATAAACGCGATTTATTTTTCTCCTATTATATATACGCCAAAATTAGCAATTTTATAATATTATTATAGCATTGACATTAAATAGCATGTTTTTTTAATTTTTAATACATTTCTATCCTTTTTAAATATGTTTCTATCAGTTGACGAACCACTGGCAATATTTGGTACATTTTTAATCTGCGCGTGACAAGAAGAATTATAATAATTTATTTCAAAGTGTAGAGTGCAAGAAAAAATCTGTTTCTGACATTCTCCAATTTTGAACGGCTGCAATGAAGAAACGGAAGTGACATTCTTAGCGCGATGAATTCGAATAAAACGTGGAAGGAAAAATCTCAAGCACACCGTTCTTCTTGAAAAAACTACCATCGCTTTATCATTTTTACACAAACGACGCAGAATGTTGCATTTAATTAGAGAACCGTGCACATCGCACGCGTACTCGTGCTGTCGATCGTCCGTGCTGTAGAACGACTCCGCGGAATTTGCTTCGTGGTATTTTCAAACGGTACCTTACTCACGCGGTGCGTTCCGCCAGAACGGAGGCGATGGCGCGCGTATACCAGCTCCGCATGCGTTATTGTAACAAAAATGGACATTTTTATTTCATCGCTATTCGTTTTCTACTCCATTCGATTCTTTGGAATATTCGTTTATTCTTTCTCTTGAAAAACATTACGCGCATAATCGAGATTAAAATATACTAAGTATCGCGACTGTGATGAATTTTTCTCGATAAAGCTTCCAAACTTTACGAACATTCGAATGTACTTTATTTGAAAAGGCATGCAGAAAATTCGCTGTCAGAAATTCATTCAGTAAAGAGAGCTCTCTGATATATACGAGGATCTTCCATTACATTTTAACTTTTGAAGCTTTTGTTCGAATATGTAATATACGAGTATATCGCAACGTCACGATGATCTCGCGCGAATATGTTACTCGCTGTAATAATCGCAATTGTATTAGCGCGAAAGATTCTGGTTATCGCGCGAGTAATTGCGTTTCACACTTGCACACACCTGTCTATAGGGATATGCAGATATAATCTTATCCGTCGAGATAAAGGCACTCTGGCATTTCACGGTCCGATGCTGCGTAGTGCAATGATTCTACATACATTACGAGGACCACGGATGCTTAGTTTTGTAGGTTGCCTATGATAATAACGAGTTACGATCGTGTCGCGGTCACGATCAACTGTACGATCGTGCATCGATGCCTCGATGGCAAGCCGAGTGTATCGGAGATGTATACCTACTACTATGACGTTGATGCTCACGTCGTAACCTTACAAATCACCGTAACCGTAATCACTGATTCCCGTGATTCGATTTAAAGGTTACTATTCGCAACATTAGCGCTGTAACATTACAACCGGTACATATTATACGTATATGAATCTTATCGCACGCTCTAGTCGGACATTTTGTCACACGTAACATAATTTTAGTTTAGCAAAATAAACAAAATATGACAATTATGCTTTCTGTATTTATTTAATCAGTCAATTTTTTACGCGTTAAATAACAGGAACTGTTGATGGATAATCAAATTGATTGAAATAACAAATTGTCGCATGTACTACATACGTAAGTTAGCATCCCATGTCTTTCGATATCTTTTACACTTTTCAACTTTAATTATCAAAACTTTTTTTTATTTTAAACAACATATTAATATATCTTTGAGAATTCTGAGACTGGGATGCTGACTTTTTAAAGATTATACGTATATCCACTGTACTGTTGAATGTCGCTTTCCTCAAGGAAGAAACACGTATGCGTGTGTGCGTGCGTGCGTGTACACTTGAAACGCATGCTTAGATATATCGCGAAGGAAAAGGTACGCGGCGTAAGTGCGTGCCTACTACTCGGAAACAGCCGAGGCATTGACCCGCGCGCGAGAGCGGTTAGTCACACATATGCACGCGTGGATTACCCGATATATGTGCGTATCTCTTATACCATGCCGGCGCGCGGTGCTTTAATAGCATTAAAACGGCCCACGCTCCCCCCTTCCACCATATCTCATCGCGGCTACTACCGCGCTCTCTAAACAATTCGCCACCGTACCAGCCATAGATTTCCGTAATGTACATTAGACTGTCAGCAAGCCACGGTTATCTCGTGATTAGATACTAGATTATGACGAGACTATGATAGAACTCCTCTTATATCGTCGCGAGTTGTACGTGTTTGTTGCTCAGGAATCTCTTTTCTAATGGAAATAAAAATGACGTATCTCCCTCTTTCTCTCATTTTTTCGAAATATTGTCATGCAATCGTGTGACAAATGTACTTGTAATCCTCTGTGGAGAGTAAAACGAGAAGAAAATTTTACTTTGCAGAAAAATTAAGTATATTTTTTTTCTAGAATTGAAAAATTCTGTTATATACATCAAAATAGTGCGATGCACAAACACTCTCACAGCTTTTAACTAATGAAAAATAATTAATACATTCGATTGATGCGCGTTCTCATTTATACATGCACGCGATGTGCGCTACGTTTTCCGCCATCAGCGACGTATGAGTTACATACGCACGTTTTACATAGTGCAGGCAGGAATGCGCAAAGAGGCGACGACAAATCTTGCAACTGAAGAATGTAAACGTCGTTCATCTGTCTCGTTACGACGACTCGAGAGAATGGAATTCTCTCGCTTCGACGATCTAACGTTTCTCTCGTCAATTCTCAATTTAATCTCTACGACACTTCGGTATCAATTAATGTGGCTCAACGCACTCGTAATGCAACAATTTACCAAGTAATCTCATTTCAAAACAAAATATTCAGCCGTCGTCAAACGATTGCGATTCCTCTTTAGTGTCGAGATGAAAAGGCATTTTCAAATCACTTGCAGAGCCATCGAGAAAAGTATAGGGGGGCTCCTCGTTCATTGTGTAGAAAATTGATAGGTACTGTAGAGCGTAACGAGGTGCCGCGACTCGTTAAAGCGATTATTCCCGTCTGGTCGAACTGTTGCGTAACGAAAAATGTCGGCGGACCAGTATAATAACGACTCGTATAATAACGGAGAGTCAATTCGACCGAATTTCTACTGCGGCTTTAATTTCCTTCTTCTCGTTTGAGAGATCGACGAAAGAATTTAATGTTAAAAATTACAAGTGCAAATATATATATATATGATATATATATATATATATTTACGCACGTTTTATAGACTTTCTAAGCCATTACCTATAAGCTTAAGCCGTAATAAATTGACCAATCCACCGCAGTCGATTATTCGCTTCTCACATTCGACTGATTAGTCGATTTTTTACCGCGGTTTAAGACTTGAGCTCGGGTAATACGGTGTTTACTGTAAAAAGCCCCTATCAAAACTCTACTCTCAAAAGCCGTCTACTTTAACGACACAACTGACTTGAAACGGTATCAGCAAAGTGTGTAGGTACATACATGTATATATAGTGGAAACAGATCCATGTATTTCACGATTATTAAAGTCGAGGTCGTACTGCGCGCCAACGGTTGAGAGGGTACAGTTGAATACAAGAAGAGGTCATCGCTAGAGCGATTGTGAGGGGGGGGGGGGAGAAGAGGAAGACATTGTAAGCATCACGATGCTCGTAATGCTTTCCGTCGACCGCAGATCAGATATCGCCGCGGCGCAGCGCGGCGCGGATTAACGTCTCGAACGCGAACGGATGGAACGCGTTCGGGGCGCCACGGGACCTCGGATCGTCGATCTTGACGACCATTAGCGGAATACACGTGAGTCCAGAGGGATTTTTCCGTTATGACTGTTCCGGGAGCTATGCACGCTGGAATGCTAACCGAGCCAATGCCCGGAAATGCAGTCCGTCTTCCATACTTGATTCCTCGCCGATTGCAAAAGAAATACGTTTGTATTTTCCCCGAGGGGGCTGCAAAAACCCGCGCCGGAGCTCGTAAGCTTTTGTGCACGGTATAATGTAACACTAGATTTCGCGTATGTTTATCGTATACGCGTATCGAGCTTTCGCGGAGTTACACAGCGAACATTTTTTACAACTCATCTTCTTATGCATATTTATTTTTACATATTTTTCTTTTTTGTTGCAGCTTAATGTGAAGCTATTTACGCGCTCCGAGATGTTTATATGATAAAACAATTATGATATTATCCGGTATGAAATAACTATACTAACTTTAACCATAACACTGTCATGGGATTTGTATAATAATCTCACATTCTAAACCGATGAATAATGAATTGCCTAGAGTCATTTAAGTACTTTACTCGTGTATCGTCGTAAATTCTAATCATGATATCGTGCATGATCTATATTATATTTATTAGATAATCAATATAAAAATAAGTCCTTAATCTTCTTAATCTTCCAAGTCGCGCTACATTTCTTCGTAAATCAGGAATGAATGCCGATAGATATGTGATTTCTATCCAAATCTAAGTCTTTATTTCTTCTTATTATTATCATTATTCCATATAATGTGCTTCACGTCACTTAAAACGTATACGTGTCCATATTATGACAGTTTCATCGTTTCGATCGGATCGCATTTTCATCGAATACATCTAAGCGCTTCGTTCGTCACGCATCGTAAAATACATTAAAAAAGGCCCAATGACCTCGATCTAGGAAGAGGAAGATTCAGGACGCGCTCAAATCAGGATCTCGAGCGGGAAAAGCCACCGGTCTATATAATATGTTGATTACAGATCTCGCCTTACGATGAATCGCTA